AAACCCTAAACCCTAAACCCTAAACCCTAAACCCTAAACCCTAAACCCTAACCCTGAACCCTGGGCCTTGATCCACCCAGTGAAGGCCAGGGAAGAATCATGAAATCTGCCGGTAGTAAAGCCGCAAAACACGAAGCCGGATCCCAACAAAAACACACGCGAGCTCCATAATATGAAGAACCCTAAACCCTAAACCCAACATCCTAAATCCTAAACCCTGAAGAGCTGCCCCTGGGGCTATATAGTGGCCGGCAAATGGGCCGGGAATGCGGCGTGGAAAGGCCAAGAGGAGCGCCTGGCCCTGTCTGACTGTTTCGGGGCTTAATGGAGCCGGTGCTGGCTCCTCCTGGCACCCACGCGGGCAGAAAAGCTGGGTGCCTTAGTCGCAACCTTCGCATTATGGGTTTAGGGTTTAGGGTTTCGGGTTAGGGTCTATAGGGTTGAGGGTTTAGGGTTTAGGTTCGCATTTCTACTTGGGGGGGATCTGGCACAGGGTCGAGGGCTCAGACTTCGGAGTACGGGACGAAGAAGCTGAGCTAAACCGAGAGCCCGAACTGAAGTTCCTTCTCATATCTCAAATTGCCACAAGTTTAGGTACCCCCAAATCAAACCCAAAGGTAAAGGGCGTTTGGGGCTTTAAGGCTCGTAGTGTTCAGGGCTGAGGCTACCAAGAAGTACGCGCTTTGTGGCATCCAGCATCTGGCGGAGGGCAAAGAGCTCTCTGAAAACTGGAGGTCCCGTTGATGAGATATGTGTCGAAAGGCGATGCACGGCGCATGCATATCGGAATGCGATGCTGGTGGCGGCCTAAGGTAAACCTTGAAATCCCTCAAACCCAAACCCCACATTGCTACCCATGAACCCTTCGAAGCCCTGAACACTATCAAACCCTAAACCGCTACAACCTAAGCCCGATTAAGCCCTAAACCTTACTAAGCCCGACAAAACCCTAGTAGACTCTAGACCCGAAAACCCATGCGCCCTATTCTGGTAATTTCCGAGATTGAGGTACCCTAATTGGGGTCCTTCTTATACTATTTGGGGCCCATACTTGGGGTCTTTCTTGGGGGGGGGGGGGGGTCCCAAAGTCTCGTAAACACCTTGCTATCAGCCTTGGCTTAGCTGTGTGCACCGTGCACCGCGCTGGGTGGCAGCAAGCAACACACCCTTCCTGCGTCCTCCCCACACGGGTGTTGATAGAAGAATGGAGTCGGTCTTGGGTTTGTGCCTAAACCCTAAACCCTAAACCCTAAACCCTAAACCCTAAACCCTAAGCCCTAAACCCTAAGCCCTAAGCCCTAAGCCCTAAACCCTAAGCCCTAAACCCTAAACCCTAAACCCTAAACCCCAAACCCTAAACCCTAAACCCTAAACCCTAAACCCTAAACCCTAAACCCTAAACCCTAAACCCACGACATGGTACCCTGTAGACCCACCTTGGAGGGTCATGGGTAGCTAGAAACAGGGGTATCTAAAGTGCCCTAAACAAAGGCGAAGGTATAGTTACCATACTTATAACCCTACTTCCTCACTTTCCATGGAACTCCAACCATTCATGCCAGCAACCCTAAAACTTTAACAGAAGACGGCGCGAAACCCTATGTAAACCTCTAAGCATCTTGTCACGCACAGAATTCCAGAACATGAGGGGGCCTGTTGTTGCAAGAGGCACGTTAATCTCCAGGGTTTGAGGGGCAATCAACTTCTTTTGATGATAATAAGCCTCATACTAGAAACCCTAAACCCTAAAGGCCGGAGAATTAAATTAGGACTTTTTTGTTGTTTTTTGGGTTTTTTGTTTTTTGCTTTAGGGTTTAGGGTATAGGTTTTAGGGTTTGGGGTTTAGGTGTTAGAGCTTAGGGCTTAGGGTTTAGGGTTAAGGGTTAGGGTTTAGGGTTTAGGGTTTAGGGTTTAGGGTTTAGGGTTTAGGGTTTAGGGTTTAGGGTGTAGGGTTTAGGGTGTAGGGTTTCGGGTTTAGGGTTTAGGGGTTTAGGGGTTTAGGGGTTTAGGGGTTTAGGGGTTTAGGGTTTAGGGGTTTAGGGTTTAGGGTTTAGGGTTTACCAGTAGCAACAACAAAAAAAACTTCCTAAGAAAAAATAGACCTCCAACCCTAAATCCTTTTGGTGCAAGGAAAGACATCGGGGTCGAGCTTCATGTGAGGGTGCTTCGGTATGTATGTCACTAAACACCCATTGTACCGAAGGCTTCCAAAAAAAAACACGTTGGTACAAAGGTTTGAGACTGCAATGTAGATAAGATTTGGTGCCACCTGCCTAGCAGCCTCGCACCACGCTGCAGGATAGGGTTTGGGGTTTAGGGTTCGAGGCCCTATATTTTCTGCTATATTTGAAATGACATATTCAGACACAGCCGATCCAGCTCATCTAAAACCCTTGCGGGGAGAAGATCGAGATCATGAGGTCAATCTGGTTGGAAACGTTGACCTCCCAGGGTCGTGGCAACTCTGACGACCCCGAAACCCCTAAACCCCAAACCCGAGAACCTCGAAAGCCCCAAGGGGCACAGAACTCACCGACACCCTCCCGAAGCCCTACAAACACTGCAAACTGCAAGGCCTACAAACCGCATGAAATATGTGCCGATAAGCCCTCAAGCGTCTGCAAGCCCTGTAAATCTACAAGTCCGAAACCCGTGTAGTCCCCAACCCTTGCACCCTTCATTCCTTCATTCCAGAAGCAAACCCCCTTAAACCGTAAACCCTAGACCCGAAACCCTAAACCACCTCCGTGGCCCACTCGGTGAAGAGCCCCAAGCTGAAACCTCGGCTTCAACTTTTCGGGAGGGGGTTGGAAGGTTGACGGGAGTTTCGGGTTTAGGGTTTGGGTGGTTTAGGGATTTTTTCGGGCTTCGGGTGGTTTCGGGTTCAGAGTTTATGAGGGTTTAGGGTTTAGGGTTTAGGGTTAAGGGGGAGGGCTTCGAGGTTTCGAGTTTCAGAGCTGGCAAGGGTTTAGGCATTTGGGGCCCATGGACTAAAATGAGAGGCTCCCTCAAAAGGGGAAGCCCTTACTTGAGAATGGAACCCTAAACCCTAAACATATTGCCCTTGTAAGGAAGAATGAATATGTCTATCCAACTATTCTTGAGGGGTGTTCTCAAGCAAGCAGTAAAACCCTAAACCCTAAACCCTAAACCCTAAGCCCTAAGCCCTAAGCCCTAAACCCTAAACCCCAAACCCTGGAATGCTAAACCCTGAACTTCGGTGCAGTAGCCCATCATGGCGGCCCGCCCGTTGAAGAGTTCCGCCAGCGGCCTGCGCGGCTCCCTAAACCCTAAACCCTAAACCCTGAACCCTAAACCCGGAGTAGTACCCTAAACCCTAAATTCTCAACGTTTGTTTTATGGGATCTTTTCGAACTCCGCAGGGCTTTAGAATTCGGGCTTAGGGTTAGGGGAATTCTTTTGACCTGATCCTGTAGGAGTTTGAAAGAGTGCACTCTTTCAGGGGTCCTTTACAGGACCACATGAGTACCCTAAACCCTAAACCCTAGAGACGAAACCCTAAACCCTAAACCCTGAACCCTGAACCCTATACCCTAAAGCCCCTTTGTTGCAATAGGGCTCCTGCGATTTCTGCGATGAGGAATCATCGTAATTCTCTACACTATCCGCCTATACATGTAGAGAGAGATAGTGGGTTTAGGGTTTAGGGTTTAGGATCTTCGGTGGTGTTCAATGAGGCATGAACTCAAATCTAACCCAGCAAACATTCTAAACTCCCCCCATGTTAACTGAGGCTCGGTCGAAGTCCCAGGGTTGAGGGTTTAGGCTTTGGGTTTAGGGCCAGGGCTCTGAAAACCCCTGATGTACGTAGTTCAGGGTTTAGGGTTTAGGGTTTGGGGTTTAGGGTTTAGGGTTTAGGGTTTAGGGTTTAGGGCTATTTTGGGGCAGGATAGCAATCAGATCCCAGGGCTTTCTGGAGGCCAAGATGCGTGAGACCGAACCAGGCGTTCTTGTCCTCAGCGCTTTCTAGGGTTCCCAAACAACAAGGGCTTAGGTTTAGGGTTTAGGGTTTAGGGTTTAGGGGTTAGGGTTTAGGGTTTAGGGTTTAGGGTTTAGGGTTTAGGGTTTAGGGTTTAGGGTTTAGGGTTTAGGGTTTAGGGTTTAGGGTTTAGGGTTTAGGGTTTAGGGTTTAGGGTTTAGGGTTTAGGGTTTAGGGTTTAGGGTTTAGGTATTAGGGTTTAGGGTTTAGGGTTTAGGGTTTAGGGTTTAGGGTTTAGGGTTTAGGGTTTAGGGTTTAGGGTTTAGGGTTTAGGGTTTAGGGTTTAGGGTTTAGGGTTTAGGGTTTAGGGTTTAGGGTTTAGGGTTTAGGGCTCAGGGTTTAGGGTTTCCTACGCCCTCTTGGAAGGGTAACCCAGGATTAAGAAGGGTGCACTTGTTAGTCGAAGGGGCCTTACAACGGGCTCTAACCCCTCCAGAGATCCATACGAATGGAAAAAGAATGAACCCGAATCCCTGAACCTTTTGACCCTACACAGAACCAAAAGAAGGGAATCAGGGTCCACTGGGTCCACTGGTGGGGCCCTTAACTTACCTTATTCAGAAGGCTGAGCCCTACCTTGGGGCCGAAATGTATGCTAAGATTGGGATCCTCCCTTCATCGGGGGTCTGTGCCGCCCAAATGTTCCCAACACGCGTAGACACACTCTACAAGTATTTGCTTAAGAGCCCCCCAGAAACAGAAGAAGATAATCCCCACATAGTATCTCTATACGGAAGAAAATCTATGCATGTCGCTGGGGGGGTTCTTAAGCAAATCGTAGTCTATATGGGGGTGTACGAAAATAGGGGAACCCCAAATAGTAGGGTCCCCTTATAAGAAGGACCCCAAGAAGGTACCCCTAACCTAAACCCTAAACCCTAAACCCTAAACCCTAAACTCTAAACCCGAAACCCTAAACCCTAAACCCTAAAATCGTAATAACAAAAAACCATATCGGCAAGGCCCATGTAGGCGCCCCACAACATGCAGCCGAAGGCTCGTCCTCCATCTCCGTCAGGATCTTGTCCTTCCGTCCAGTTTTAGGGTTTAGGGTTTAGGGTTTAGGGTTTAGGGTTTAGGGTTTAGGGTTTAGGGTTTAGGGTTTAGCGTACGCCCATGTTGAAACAAAAACAAATGGAGGGAACTACGTACTACCGCAAGCCCCACCTTGATCCGAAAAGCGCCACATCCCAAATCCAAAGCCCTAAACCTCCAGAAGCACACCTGGGGTGGTTCCTGCCTGTGGTTTAGGGTTTAGGGTTTAGGGTTTAGGGTTTAGGGTTTAGGGTTTAGGGTTTCGGGTTTCTGTACCCTACCACCATCCTTGTGAAAGCTTATGTTCTGGAGGTTGTGTATGGAGGCAATAATGTAGAAAAAACAAACCGTAGAACATTGGGATCCCAAAGCCCTAGAATCAGAAGAGTGAGCCACACAAGAACTGCAAGACATTTCAAAACTTCTGCTGACAATACTTATGATGGTGATAGTCCTAAACCCTCAACCCTAATCCCGGGGTGCACTGGAAGCTGCACCTCAAAGTACTTCTGCAGTCTTTCGGCGGTGTCTCGCTGCTCCCCGATGAGAACTTCCTGTGCGAGCGCCGGCAGGCATACACCCTAAACCCTAAACCCTGAACCCTAAATCCAAAAATCTCGGCCGCTTATTTCAGAATGTTCAGTGATGTTCTCAAGATGTTCAAAAAAAGGTAACCACAAAGTGCCCCACCCTAAACCCCAAACCCCAAACCCCCAAACCCTAAACCCCAAACCCCAAACCCTAAACCCTAAACCCCAAACCCAGCTGGTGGCCACTTCGGCCCGCAAAGGTGTCGGTACGGGCCTGCTCTTCAGGCTGCCCCTCTGGAAGCTTGTCCGTGGTGTCCTCTGCTGTACAAGGGTTTAGGGTTTAGGGTTTTGGGGGATATAGATATGCGCACACACGCGCACGCACAAAGTAGAAAACCCCGTATGATGGTGCCGAAGCCCTTCCTCCTCGGCCACAACGAAACAACAGCTGTAGGAAAGGAAGCGGCCCATGCTGCGACAGGAATTTCCCTGAGCCCCAAAGCCTCAAACTTCCCGAAGTTCCCCCTTATACTAACAGTCCTTCATAGGGATTATAGTACCCCCTGAACCCTAAACCCTTAATAATTCCTAAACCCCTAGGGAACATCCCAAGACAAGCCACTTGCAAGAGGCTTCAAACTTCGCGCCGAACTCCACAAAACAAAGCGATAGACAACAGGGTTTAGGGTTTAGGGTGTAGGGTTTAGGGTTTAGGGTTTAGGAAGTTTAGGGTTTAGGGTTTAGGGTTTAGGGTTTAGGGTTTAGGGTTAAGGGTTAAGGGTTAAGGGTTAAGGGTTAAGACACAACAGAATCCCTGCGCACAAGAGCGGGGATTTGGCCCCTAAGGACTTGGTAGCCCAGAACCATCTCATAAGTTGGTTACTCTGTAAGGGAACCCAGAACCAAAAATAGGGTAAAACGCACCACCGGGCTACCTTGGAGGTTCCGGGAACACATAACCCCAGTTATAACTGTACTTATAAGCCCCCTGAGTCCGATAGAAGTATACTTATAATTGGGGTTGTAAGTACCCATGAACCTCCACTTGGAGGCTCATGGTACTTATTAACCACTTGTAAACGTACTTATAACTGTACATATAACCATGTTAGGGCACTTAAGGGTCTTATAAGTGGGTTATAAGTACGGTTATAATTAGTTAATTAATACCATGAACCTCCAAGCAAGTACCAAGTGGAAGAAGCTTTCTGTTTTTGACCCATGCGTCGGTGGCCAACGCCATCTCCAACTTGGCATCCGCCTCGGCCTGCGTGAGCTTTGCGCTTGAGACTTTGCAGGCAGGGTTTAGGGTTTAGGGTTTAGGGTTTAGGGTTTAGGGTTTAGGGTTTAGGGACATCATGTTACTCGGAAGTTCCTGTGCGAAACTGCGTTCAACCCTCGAGGTGCCAAAACCCATGTGGCTTCCCTAAGCCCTAAGCCCTAAGCCCTAAGCCCTAAGCCCTAAGCCCTAAGCCCTAAGCCCTAAGCCCTAAGCCCTAAGCCCTAAACCCTAAACCTCCAAGAACAAAGGAGGTCCCACGGGTCCGCAGGGATGCGCAGCATGCGCATGCGCGCGAGTTGGGTTTTGGGGGGCGACTAGGGCAATATGGGAGACTGAAACTATGGGTGGGCTAAGAACCCTAAACCCGAATCTAAACCCTTAGCCCTATATCCGAAAACACCAAATTTGGGGTTGAGAGTTCCTGGTTTATCATACGGGCCTTAACAGGCAGAATACGGTTTTTTTTTGGGGGGGGGGGGGGGATCTTGCAGTATATTCATATAGGGACCACAGGGGAATGTTCTGACCCCTAAACCCTAAACCCTAAACCCTAAACCCTAAACCCTAAACCCTAAACCCTAAACCCCAGACCCTTAAAGGGTTCTCGGGGGTCACGAAGAAGGCTGCTCTGGCTCCAAGCCTTCTCACGTTCCAGCTCACCTTCCTCTGGCTCATACTTGCCCTTCATGAGCTTCTTGAACCTTTGAGACGCTTTTGGGGGATGTATAGGGTTTAGGGTTTAGGGTTTAGGGTTTGGGGTTTCGGGTTTAGGGGTGAGTGTGAGCAGTTTGGGCCTTTGCGGGTCTCTCTAGTGTGCTCCCAAGCATGAGAAAGCAAACTTGCGGGGAGAGATCTGCTTGGAGATTGTCATCCTCTCTCTCATCATGGGCAGTTGGGGGGGTTACGTGGATACTCTTCACACCGCGCGCCCGCTGCCACAGCTTTGAAAGGAATTGCACGAGAAGGGAGCGAGAAGAGGCAGCGAAGTGAAAACGAAGAACTATCGTTTATTGGGTCGCAGCAGTTTAAAGACCTGAACAATAGTACCCTAAACCCAAAACCCAATCCCCTAAACCCACTACTGCAAGGTCCAAGGAGCACTCGGCGATAGTACTCCCCGATGTATTCTTCGAGACCACGCGTGGCGTTGGGGTCCTGGCAGCTATCGGAGGGGGGCCCCATTTGTGCTTCCTTCATTCAGGGCATCCAGTCTTATGATTCATAATTCAATCCTAAACCCTAAACCCTAAACCCTAAACCCTAAACCCTAAACCTAAACCTTAAACCCTCAGGAGACCTTGGCACCCCAAAGGGAAACTAAAATGGGGGTGGGGGGTGTCCTTGGTGCGCTCTAGGTATAGCCTCTCAACCCTCCTTGATATCAACTCTCGGAGGCTGCCACGACAACGTCAAGACATGAATTCCATCCTCAAGAGCAGGGTCTAGGGTTTAGGGTTTAGGGTTTAGGGTTTAGGGTTTAGGGTTTAGGGTTTAGGGTTTAGGGTTTAGGGTTCGGTGTAATTCCTTCCCAGGTTTAGGGTTTCGGGTTTAGGGTTTGAGGTTTAGGGCTTCGGGCCAGGCTTGCTTGGATCCAAGGCGCCATGCCCAGCAGCCCGTAATCCTCGGTCGTCATCATCATCGGGGTGCCTGGCAGTTGGCGACGAAACCGAGGGGTTTGGGGTTTAGGGTTTAGGGCGGAGGCCTATAAGCCTTCAAGACCCTCAAACCCTGAAGGACCTAAATCCCAACACCTTCTTCTAAGGCCTGAAGCCCTGAAAACCCCAACACCTTTGAGGCCTATGAGGCCTGAAACCTTAAGCCTTCAAACCCTCAAACCCTGAAACCCTGAAGCCCTGAAGCCTGACTGCAAGCTGGCTGAAGCCTTGTTGAATACAGGCAGCTGTCGACTGAAGCCCTACTAAAGCCATTTGATAAAGCCTTCATAGAGGGGCTAAGCCATAAACCCTACCGAACCCTAAACCCCAGCCCTACAGCCTACAGCCTACAGCCTACAGCCTACAGCCTACAGCCTACAGCCTACAGCCTACAGCCTACAGCCTAAAGCCTAAAGCCTAAAGCCTAAAGCCTAAAGCCTAAAGCCTAAAGCCTAAAGCCTAAGGCCTAAGGCCTAAGGCCTAAGGCCTAAGGCCTAAAGCCTAAATAAAGCCTAAACCCTACACTAAGAAAGCAAAAGCCATAAGTTTAGGACCTAAAGTCCTCAACCCCCGGTCGAAGCCGCTTCGGCCTGAAGATCCCAGCTGGTTCACCTCCACGAAACGGAGGCGCTCGGCAACGTCCTGGGAGCACTTAGGGCTCTATCTCTAGGACCTGAGGATCGGTCTTTTTAAGGCTTTAAGTCAGGGTTTAGGGTTTAGGGTTTAGGGTTTGGGGTTTAGGGTTTCGGGTTCAGGGTGTAGGGTTTTTAGGGTTTAGGGGTTGCACGTCTAGAGGGTGTGCGAGGCCAAGATACGATGGACCAGTCGAAGAAAGAGGCCGCACTCATGGTCGCCTGCATCTGACCGTTTGAGACGGTGTTGATGTCCGCCTCCGGTTCAGGGTTTTGGATTCTAGGGTTTAGGGTTTAGGCTTAGGATTCAGGGCTTCAGCTCTCTCAACTAGCGCAAGGGTCTCGGGCTTTGGGTTGAAGAGTTGAGAGTTTATGAACTCATCATGATCACACCGACATTATGTTAGGCTTTCCTAGCTAAGGGGCATTGCGTGTTTGGTCGGCCCTAGCTTAGAAACTCCACAACAGCGGAAGGTTCAGGGTGTAGGGTGCTGTAACCGAAGCAGTTTAAGGTTTTTGGCTGCACTTCTCCATGTGCGGTTTTTGGCGCAGGGACCATGCACATCTTTCTTACCTTTTCAATTCGAGGGTTCAGGGGCTTATAGGGTGTTTAGCTTGACTTTCCCAAGCACTAAATCTCAAATGTACTCAGTGTACCCATTCTGAAAGAATCATAACTGGGAACCTCTAGTCAGACGCAGCCAGACCCAAATCGTTGTGCATACCAAGAATTCCTGATCGCACTGCGTTTAGCATCATGCAATCACTGCAACTTGAGATCCAGGTAGGGAGAGTGAGGTTTGCCATGCTAAGGAAGGATGCTTTCGGGTCTTCGGCATCTTGGAAAGGGCTTGGCAGCTGATGCTCATGATGCTCGCGGGTCTTCGGCGGCTTGGAAAGGGCTTGGCAGCTGATGCTCATGATGCTCGCGGGTTTCGGCGGCTTGGAAAGGGCTCTGCAGCTGATGCTCATGATGCTCGCGGGTCGTCGCGTCTTGGAAAGGGCTTGGCAGCTGATGCTCATGATGCTCGCGGGTCTTCGTGGCAGCTGATGCTCATGATGCTCGCGGGTCTTCGGCGGCTTGGAAAGGGCGTGGCAGCTGATGCTCATGATGCTCGCGGGTCTTCGGCGGCTTGGAAAGGGCTTGGCAGCTGATGCTCATGATGCTCGCGGGTCTTCGGCGGCTTGGAAAGAGCTTGGCAGCTGATGCTCATGATGCTCGCGGGTTTCGGCGGCTTGGAAAGGGCTCTGCAGCTGATGCTCATGATGCTCGCGGGTCGTCGCGTGGCTTGGCAGCTGATGCTCATGATGCTCGCGGGTCTTCGTGGCAGCTGATGCTCATGATCGGCGGCTTCTTGGCGGGCTCATGATGCTCGCGGGTCTTGGCAGGGCTTGGCAACCGATGCTCATGATGCTCGCGGGTCTTCGGCGGCTTGGAAAGGGCTTGGCAGCTGATGCTCATGATGCTCGCGGGTCTTCGGCGGCTTGGAAAGGGCTTGGCAACCGATGCTCATGATGCTCGCCGGTCTTCGGCGGGTTGGAAAGGGGCTTGGCAGCTGATGCTCATGATGCTCGCGGGTCTTCGGCAGCTTGGAAAAGGCTCTCAGCTGATGCTCATGATGCTCGCAGGTCTTCGCGTCTTGGAAAGGGCTTGGCAGCTGATGCTCATATGATGCTCGTGGGTCTTCGGCGGCTTGGAAAGGGCCTGGCAGCTGATGCTCATGATGCTCGCGGGTTTTGGACGGCTTGGGCAAACCCCGAACCTTTCTCTCGAACCTTAAGAAGCCTCCCTTCAGCACACCCATAACTGGAGGCCTCACGACCCGACAGCTTCTCGCAAAGCTTGATGATCTCGTTTGTGGACCACACCTGAAGGCAGAAGAGGTGTGTTCTGGGGTTAGGGTCTAGGGCTGGGATGGTCGCCCTTATACTCACAGTCCTTGAACGGGATGATAGTGCCACCTATCGAATCCCTGTTAAGGACCTTCTCAGAGAACCTGCACCCCCAAAACCCTCAAACTTACTGTTGGTTAGTCGGGAATGAGGGAATGATGAGGGAATGAGGTACCCTATATAATCTCTTAAAGGGTACATATACATGTATATATATATATATAGGGGGGAGCAAAGAGCCTTGCGAGTCGGGTTCAGGGGGTGCCTCTTGTGGCCCTCCAAGTCTTCACGCACCCAGAAACCCTAAACCCTAAACCCAAACCCTAAACCCTAAACCCTAAACCCTAAACCCTAACCCTAAACCCTAAACCCTAATGGATTGAGTTCTTCGAGCATGTTCCTCAGCCCCCTGTTTAGATACGAGCTAGCTCACCGGGCTTAGGTTTGCTTGGCGGGCTCCAGTCAATCTATGGCGTATAGCTTTTCGCAACCTGAAATTCCACACCCTGGGCTACGGATAAGGATTGGAAGACAACTTCAGAAGGTGAATTTCCAGGCAGGCTGCGATAGAAGACGCATAGTTATTAGGGTTTAGGGTTTAGGGTTTAGGTTTAGGGTTTAGGGAATAGAGCAGAACAGCGCTAAGGACAGTATACTGGGCATGTTCCGAGGGGAGAGCTTCTCTCCTCAAGTTGGTCCATCTTGAAACCAACGGGGCAGATTGTCGGCCCCACAACGTAAAACCCCAAACCTACTTGCCTAAGAATCCGAGAAGGGGCAATATAATAAGAACCTACAAAAAAGGAAGGTTTTGGGTTCTCTCACGGTAAGCCCTAAACTTCCTTTACCACGCTGGGAACGCCCGATTGGCGCCTTGGGGCCCGTGAGCGTCAGGGTCTTCCCGATCGTCCGCTCCTTCCGCAAACTAACACTCCACCTTGAGCCCCCGCAACCCCCAACTGCTGTGTGGGGTTTAAGGTTTAGGGTTTTGGAGTTTAGGGTTAGGGTTTGGGGTTTAAAGGGGTTTAGGGGCTTAGGGGTCTAGGGTTTCGGGGCTAAGTGTTGAAGGAGCTGGGTAGAGGTTGGATCTCACCCTACACCCGGCCCTGAAGAGCCCTAACCCTGCTTGGAGGGTCATGGGTACTTACAACCCCTATCAGAAGTCTACTTACAACCTACTTAGAGAACTTATGGGGCTTAGAAGTACAGTTGAATGATTAAAAATAGGGGTTATACGTACCCTAAACCCTAAACCCTAAACCCTAAACCCTAAACCCTAAACCCTAAACCCTAAACCCTAAACCCTAAACCCTAAACCCTAAACCCTAAACCCTAAACCCTAAACCTCCCAGTGCGTCCTTCACCATCGCAGAGGCGGTCCACCGCGCGACATCCTGGGAGTCCACGTAGGCGATACCTGTCCAAAGGCCCATGGCGAGCAAAGTGCTGGTTGGCCCCTTTGGGGGTTTAGGGTTTAGGGTTTAGGGTTTAGGGTTTAGGGTTTAGGGTTTAGGGTTTAGGGTTTAGGGTTTAGGGTACAGGGTTTAGGGTTCAGGGTTTAGGGGGCCCCTTTGAAACTCAGGGTGTAGAGTTGAGGCTTTAAGAAAAGAAGTTATTCTCTCAATCCCCAAGTGGGAAATTCTCAAAGTGTTCGCTAGAGTTTAGAGTTTAGGGTTCAGGGTTCAGGGTTTAGGGGTTAGGGTTTAGGGTTTTTTGTTTAGGGTTTATTGTTGAGGGCTTATTTTTTAGGGTTATATTTTAGGGTTTAGGGTTCCCTGTGCTCCAAGAAATTCAGCCTTTCCCTCGCTTCAGGCAGGCAAGGCTTCGGAAGGCTTCGGGCGGTTGTGGACGTGGGGTTCAACACCCCCATCTTTTTCTCTTCCTACAGGAGCTGTGGGATGATGAGCCCTGGACCCTAAACCCTAAACCCTAAACCCTAAAGCCTAAACCCTAAAGCCTAAACCCTAAACCCTAAGCCCTACACCCTTAACCCTATAAGACTTTGAAACCCTGAAGCCTAAGAACCCTAGCCCCTGCGCCTGGCATGCTCCCATCGTCGCCCCACACCTTCTGGTCGTCCAATACGCAGACAGCGTATCTGAGTGAACACGTAGGGTTTAGGGTTTAGGGTTTAGGGTTTAGGGTTTAGGGTTTAGGGTTTAGGGTTTAGGGTTTAGGGGATAGGGGTTCGGGTTTAGGTGTCTCTCTCGTTTGGGGTCTAGGGTTCAGGCTTCGGCAGTGCAACCCCACCGCCCCCAACAAGTTAGGACTAGGGGGATTGGAAAAATGGAGCCGCCAGTGCCTGACCTTTGTGAGAGCTGTCGTGGTTCACAGTCTAAGACAGAGGCCCCTCCTAGCAATTTAACCTGAGTCTCAAGGCCAACCAGCCAAACCAACCAACAAATAAACACGGATAATGGCATATCAGCACCCGAGACCCTGCCCTTCTTCATTTACAAAAGTGGGGAATCCTTAGCCTGAAACCTAAAGTTCAACCACTAGGGTTTAGGGTTCAGGCTTTAGGGATTAGGCTTTTCGGGCATGTATTCCAGGAGCCCATCTCGCGCAAAGTCAGCAAGCCCGCTCACATTCACAGCATGCGGATCCAATCGCCGGGTGCGTAGTCAGTGGGCTCCTCGCGGATCTTCTTTTGGGGGGCTTCGTCGCCAGCGGACGAGCTCTCTCGCTTCTTTGTGTTCTTATCCTCGATAATTCGCCAGGTCTTCGTCTCTCTGTCCCACTTTTGGCACACCAAATTCGGCTTCACCACACCAGGCACCCTAAACCCTAAACCCTAAACCCTAAACCCTTGGCCCTGAATGCCATGGGCAGCCGCTTCGCCCACCCTGGGGGGGGGGGGGGGTAGGTGGGCTGCTTCGGCTTTTGGTCCAAGCGCCACGGTGATCTCACCGGCATCCCGCCAAGGCAGAGGGTTGAGGGTTTGGGGTTTGGGGTTTAGGGTTTAGGGATTGGGGTTTAGGGGTTAGGGGTTCGGGAACTCTACCAAGTCCGACCAAGGAGCTGGGAGATCAACGGCTGCATCAGGCCACTGATGCCTTGGCACGCCGGTCTCATGCGGTTTCGGGTTTCGGTTTTTCCGAGTTTCGGGGTTTCGGGGTCTCGGGTTTCGGGTTTAAGGTTTTGGGTGTAAGGTTCAGGGTTTAGGGGTTTAGGGGTTTGGGGGTTTAGGGGTAGAGGGCTTCAGGGGCTCAGGGGTTTAGGAGGGGTTTAGGGGTTTCGGGTGCAATCAGGCTTACAGGGTCCGCAAAGGTTCAAGGGGAGGGGGGTTTGGGTGGTCATGGGCCCCCCCCCCCCAAGTGTACCTCGATTTTTCGGGGACCCCCCATGTTCTTGTTCTACTGTACTGGCCATATACACCTACTTGGAGGTTCATGGTACTTACTAACCAATTAGAACTGTACTTATAACCCTACTTATAATACCCCTAAAGCGCCTTATAGGGGTTATCCCAATTATAAGTAGGGTTACAAGCCAGTTATAAGTGGTTATTAAGTCCCATGAACCTTCAAGTAGGATTGAAGGTTTAGGGTTGAGAGGTTAGGGACGCAAGGAACTTTGGAAATAGGCCCCAAATTCAGTTGAAACTTGGACAACCCTAAACCCTAAACCCTGAACCCTGAACCCTAAACCCTAAACCCTAAACCCTCAAGACAAATAAATAGAAATTGTATGTGGTATCATTCTGAATTTTCCATGATATTTGTCTAAACAGGTGACAAACAGAGTTTAAGTAAATTAATCCAAAGCGGGAGGCCGGGAGGCCAAATGTTCAATTTACTTAAACCTCTGGGGCCTTCCCGGGTCCCGGCAAACCAAAGCACAAATCGCCTCCCAAAGCCCCAAATTGGAGCCCAAAATTGCTTTCAGAGCAAAGCCCAAAATTGGCCCCCAAAGCCCAAATTGGCCCCAAAGCCTAAAATCCAAAAATTTGCTCCCAGAATTGGCTTCTGAA